AGCATCTTTGAGCAGGGTGATACTGCTGCTCCCGCACGGGAGGCTCTGGCCCACTCTTGCCGTGCTCCTGGATTTCCCCTGCTTCTCTATTCCCCAAATTGGGACTTTCCTGGTGCCTTGCGCCAAGGGATGCGGCTTCGCAGCCTCCCTCGTGAAAAACCGCGGTGGGAGGGCTCTATTCCCCAAATTGGGACTTTCCTGGTGCCTTGCGCCAAGGGATGCGGCTTCGCAGCCTCCCTCGTGAAAAGCCGCGGTGGGAGGGCAGCAGAGGGGTCTGTGCACAGACCCCCCCTCTGTGTGGGCAGGGGGTCCCTATCTCGGGGGCTGTGACCCCCCCACTCAGGGTCCCCAGGGCAATGGGCTGGCCAAAATAAGGCCATAAAGTCCAAAAATGTGATTTGGAGTGATATCTTCGAAGGGACGAGTATTGCACTAGGGCAGGGGCTAGCAAGTCCTCGGGGCTGCAGCCCTGCCTGCAGTTTGCCGTGGTGGGGGGAGTTACCTCTTCCTTCTCCTAGTCTTTATTCTCCAGTGTTGTGGAAGTAAACACGGCTTTTAATACCCTCCAAATGCGATCCTTTGGATCTGCTTCAGAAGAGACTTTCCTGCCGCTACTAATCCTGCAGCGGTCGACCGAACAGGGTTGCCTTGTCTGATTTCTTCTGAGCTGCAGGAGGGGGGTTATTAGTCCGCTCCTGCGTCTCTCCTGACCTTTGGGGTAAATCGGGATCGGGAGGGACTTCGTGCAGCCACGTGTTTTATCCTCCCACGTGTTGCTGCGATGGTCCTTCTGCCAAGCCCTTGCTCGCGATCCGAGCCTGCCTTGGGATGGTTTCCAACGATGCCCAAATCTGGCTGCAGGTGGAGTGTCCTGTTCTGTAGCCAAGATGTGGCCATCCGTGTCCATCCTGTGTGTCCTGGTGGCCTTTGCCAATGCTCGCAGCATTCCTTACTACCCTCCTCTCTCCAGCGACTTGGTCAACCACATAAACAAGCTCAACACCACCTGGAAGGTGAGTACCGGCTTGGTTTTGGGTTTGTTTTTCTTTTTTGATGCATTGCTCAACAGTATCGTGGTGGGACTTGATAGCTGAGCTTTGGGAGTCTCACCGCGGTGGTTGCATCAAACCAGCCACGGTGGTTGCATCAAACCAGTCTTGGTCCCGGTTGACTTCTCCAGTGAGCTGATGCTGTCAGGGATTCCTGTGGCGACAGTAACTGTGGAGCTTCTCCTCTTTGGAGCAGAGCACTGATGAATTCATAGATTAGGAGCAATGCCAAGAGGAGAGGAGACTCTGTGGGAGGCTGGAAACAAGCGGCAAGTGTCAAACTGTATTGGTGACCTGGCCAAACCCACCTCAGCCAGGCTGCTGTGGCCAAAGCCTAGAGCTGGACCTTAACTTACTGGTCATGATGCATTGATCCTGGAAGGGGCTGTGTGGTTCTGTGTCCATAGGCAGTTTGGCTCTTGGCTTCTGGGTTTTATAGCACGTGTCAGACAGTGGTTGGCTTTGAGGGAGATCAGGAGCCCCAGGCTGGTCCCAGTGATGCACTTGGTGGCTATGGAGAGTCATGTCCCATTTCTCTGTGTCTCTTCCCAGGCAGGGCACAATTTCCACAACACTGACATGAGCTATGTGAAGAAGCTCTGCGGCACCTTCCTGGGTGGACCCAAGCTCCCCGAGAGGTGGGTGCCGGGAGAAGATGAGGGCCCTGTAAAAGCTTGTGTGGATGCTCCTGGTGTGTCTGGAGTGGGTGAGGGTCTCTCCTGGCAGACTGTGAGCAGGGTTCCCCTGGGTGCAGCTTGGTGGACATCTTGCATGGAATTAAGCACAGAAGCGTGTGTGGGCCAACATCCATCCTCTGTCCTGCTGGATACTTGACCAATCGTGTAATTTGTATCCTTGAAATTTAAAACACTGGAGGAGCTGCTGACCTGGTCTGAAGACTGCAGAAGTATTTATTCTCCTTCAGTAAGCAAACAACAAGAGCACTCGTCCTCTAGATCACCTTCAGAGGAGGTTGGAGAGTCCTGTTGCACCCAGTCGTGTTACACCGGTGTTCCTATAACAGGACTTCCCTCTTCTCACTTGCAGGGTAGATTTTGCTGCAGACATGGAGCTGCCCGATAACTTTGACTCACGGACGCAGTGGCCTAACTGTCCCACCATCAATGAGATAAGAGACCAGGGCTCTTGTGGCTCTTGCTGGGTAAGAGCATGGGCGGTTTAAGGTCGTGTCGATACAGAGTTTGCTGGACAAAAACCATGCTGTTGAGTTTGCTACTGAACTGCATAAATGGGGGGGACATGGGGGATCCTGTAGTGTCTGAGCTTGTTGGTGGGCTTCTCCCAGCCAGGCTCACGCTTGCTGCACTCGTTGCAGAAGGTTGCCTGGTTTCTCTCCCCTGGCCAGCTCTAATGATCTTCCCGTGGGTTTTTGGGGCTGCCCGCAGGCTTTCGGTGCCGTAGAAGCGATTTCGGACAGAATCTGCGTTCACACGAACGCCAAGGTGAGCGTGGAGGTCTCGGCGGAGGACTTGCTGTCGTGCTGCGGCTTCGAGTGTGGCATGGGGTGAGCTGCTCTTGGTACTTCTGCTCTTAAAAGGTGGGTGGGAGGAGCGGGGACACAGCCCGAAGATGCTGATCGTTTCAGCCCTGTCTTCCTAGTCTCCCTAATGAGCAGGAAGCCCCACCAGTGGTTTGTACTGTAGATGCTGGAGTTAGGTGGGAACATAAAGGTGACGGCATGGACTGAAAGTCCCTCTGGGCCACATCCTGCTCGCAGCAGTAGCTGGATGATGATGGATGGTGTAGGGAGGGCAAGCACATAGCGATGCTTTCGTATACATAGTTGGCAGCTGCCTAAGCCAAAGGATAGATCTTTTAATAGCCCCAAAGCCTTGGATTTCAGGCACAAGCCTTTTGCTTGTGGCTTTTGCAGTTGTTGAGAGCAGGGTGGGGAGTTGGGTCTCCAAGTTGTGTGGCTTCTGCTGCTCCTGGCAGCAGAGGCTGACCAGGGACCTGGTTAGGAAGCTCCAAGACAAGGAGGTACCACTGCTTTTGGGATTTGGAGGCGTGGGTGCTCTTAGCTCCTTCTTGCCCCAAGGCTTCAGTGTCTCGAGGCCCGGAAGTCCTGGGGAAGGCAGAGACAGACTTGTAGAATCACAGAATCATTAAGGTTGGAAAAGACCTCTAAGATCATCCAGTCCAACCGTCAACCCAACGCCCCCATGCCCACTAAACCATGTCCCTAAGCGCCTCATCTACACGTCTTTTAAATACCTCCAGGGATGGTGACTCCACCACTTCCCTGGGCAGCCTGTTCCAAGGCCTGACCACTCTTTCAGTAAAGAAATTGTTCCTAATGTCCAGTCTAAACCTCCCTTGGCGCAACTTGAGGCCATTTCCTCTCGTCCTATCGCTAGTTACTTGGGAGAAGGGACCAACACCCGCCTTGCTACACTACTTAAAAAGGATCAACATGCTGAAAGCTTCCTTTCAGCCATCCAAAGCTGGCTCCATTTCCCCCGTCTCCCCCAGAAGGGGATGGCTCTGAGCAGGCTGGAGCTGGAACTGTTGCCTCTTTCTCCAGGTGCAACGGTGGTTACCCCTCCGGCGCGTGGAGGTACTGGACAGAGAGGGGCCTCGTGTCCGGGGGTCTCTATGATTCCCATGTGGGTAAGTCCTGGCAGATACCCTTGTGAAAGCAAAGAGGAACATCTCTGCTTGGTTACAGGTTCATGTCCTTCAGGGTGTTTTTCTTCTGGTCTGCATCCTTGTGGCTGCTCCCTCCTTCAGGTCTGGGCTCAAACACCTCTGCTATCCCAGCTGGCTGCTCCTGTCCCCATGACTCTTGGTCACCCCTTTGGGACAAGGGTCCCCAAGCAGCACCTAGTGGCAGGAGCCCTGCGCTGCCAGACCTAAAGGGAGGTCAGTAGCCAGACCTAAAAATCCCACAAGGCTCCTGCTTCCATAGCAGAAATGAATGAGGCTGTGAATTTTTTTGTTGTTGCTGGTTTTGGACCAGCTCAATACACTTTGGATGAGGGCAGGAGCCTTCCTGACACGTTTTCCCCTCAAAAAGCAACTTCCAGGCTGGAAACCTCTGCCTCCTCCTGGCGTGGCCATGAGTTGGTTCATGTTTTCATCTTTTCCATCACCTTGTCGAGAGGGAAGTGGTGGGAAGCGGGTCCAGAGGGAAACCTATTGCTGATGCAGGAATTGCTCATCTGGCTGTAGAAGACCTACTCTTGCTCACACCCCACTGATCCGTGGGGTTTCTGGGTCAGAAAGGTCGTACCCTTTCTTGGGGCATCTGGTGCCTTCTCCAGCATGGCTGTTGGACAGGGGTGCTTGGGGACAGCTGGTTCATGCCACCTCTGTCCTCGACAGGCTGCCGTCCCTACTCCATCCCACCCTGTGAGCACCACGTCAACGGCTCCCGACCACCGTGCACCGGGGAGGGAGGGGAAACCCCCAGGTGCAGCCGGCACTGCGAACCCGGCTACTCGCCCTCGTACAAGGAGGACAAGCACTATGGTAAGGGAGGTGGCCTCCGACACTGCTGGATGCACAGGAGCTCCAGAGCTGCTCCTAGTGGTAGCTCGGTGGGGTTGGTGGGGTTGGACCTCTTCCTAAGCTGTTTCATGGTAGCTATTTTCTGTGCCCTCAGGATGGGTGGTGTTGGAGCTGCCAGAAGCCTGGCAGATGCAGAGTTTGTACTTGCTGAGACTCAGCTGAGATGGGGGAACTGATTTGTGTCCTCGTGGTGCACCTGCCTGGGTTGAAGAGCATGGTCTGGTGTCAAAGCCACTTCCTTCCTACTCCTTGGTGGTAGCCAGCACTATACCTGTAGGAGAGTCTGGCTGCTCCTTGGAGAGTTGTCTTAGCCTTGAATAATTCGGTTTGTTTTGGAAATGAGGATGTACAAGGGGAAAAGTTCCCTTCCCACTGAAGCTGTCTGGAACACGTCTTTGGGTACAGAATAGGACTCGGGTTAAATCATTCCCTCTGGAAGAGGGATGGTTGGAGCCCACTTTCCCTGCCTGGCTGTGTCAGTGCCTCTGGAGCAGCTGGGTTTGAATTTAACCTTTAAGTGGAGAAGGCCTTTTGTAGGGGCATGCTGAGCAGTCTCTGTCCAGCCATCCCAAGACCTGCATGGCCTGACGATGCCGTACTAATGGTGGGACTTTTTTTCTCCATAGGCATCACATCGTACGGTGTCCCTCACAGCGAGAAGGAGATCATGGCGGAGATCTACAAGAATGGCCCAGTGGAAGGAGCCTTTATTGTCTATGAGGACTTCCTCATGTACAAGTCTGGTGAGCATCAGCACCAAGGCTGTAGGGAGCCCTGTTCCCTACTTCATCCATAGGGTCTGTCTTTTGTGGCCCTTGTCCCTCTACTCAAGTCTGAAAGGAGATCTCAAGTTCACGCTTGAGTATTTGGTGTTGCAAGACCATGGGCAGATACCATCTCCTGTATCCATTGGTTTATAGCAAGGGCAGTAGGTGTTTGGGACTGGCTCAGGGAGGAAGCCCCAATGGGGACCCCCCCAGAATGGCAGCTGAGAACAACACTTAGGATTTTAGGTAAGATCCTGGCAGATGGTTCTGGTGTGGCCCCAGTTCCCTGTTCTGAACTGCTTGGGATGTGCTGCCTTTGGGCCCCTCGCTGAGCGTCGGTGTCCTGCGTCCTGAGCTGACTTTTAGCATCAATCCTTCCTCCAGACTCTCCATTAAGCTTCAGGTTTCCATTTAACCAAAAAAACCTTCTCAGCTGGTCTCCGGCCTTTGATATAGAATGTCTCACAAGCCAGCAGTGGTCTGAAGCGGGGGGAGACGCGGCGCTCGTTGACTCGTTGGCTTGTTGCCTTGTAGGGGTCTACCAACACGTGTCCGGCGAGCAGGTTGGAGGTCACGCGATCCGGATCCTGGGCTGGGGGGTGGACAACGGCACTCCGTACTGGCTGGCCGCCAACTCCTGGAACACCGACTGGGGGGACAATGGTGAGGCCACCCCCTGGATGCTGCCTGCGGGTGGGGGGGCTGCCGGAGGGAACCCCTCTTCCCCCTTCTCCTTGGCACGGTAGGGAGGTTGACTTTTGCTCTTGGTGTGCTTCCAGGCTTCTTCAAAATCCTCCGAGGAGAGGACCACTGCGGCATCGAGTCTGAGATCGTGGCCGGCATCCCCAGGACGGAGCAGTACTGGAAGAGGGTGTAACCTTGATCAAACCACAAATAATCCTGAGTCCCCGATGCTTTTAACTGATAGTGGGTCGGGTGCAGAGCTCCCCCCCCAAGAGACTATAGTTGAGGTTACTTTATTAAAGCTTTTTATCTTTTTTTTGTTTTGTTTTTTTTTTTTTATTTTAATTGTATGGTGGAGCTGGAGGTGGAACTGCTCTCTGCAAGACCTCTGCTCCTGGTGGGTCACAGCTATGGGGCATTCCCTGCTCAAAGGACTGCTGGAGGGCTCGCTGGCCTCTTGCGCCGTGGTATCTGGTTAGCCTGGACCCCTTCCAGCCCAGTCTGTTACTGGGAGCGTAGGAAGGCAGTAGCTGGGACTAGGGACTTGGTAGGGCAGTGGAGATGGACCCTGCTGGGAAGCCATGGCCAGGGGTGATTTGGGCAGCCCTGGCTGGGTTGGTTGGTTAGCACCCAAAACGAGCAGGGTGTGTTAGCGTGTGCCTTGAATTGGCTGAACTTAGACGTATTAATGACGAAATACTGACGAACTTGATGTGGGGCTGGCTCTGGCTTGAGCTGCGTTAAGGCCCCTTCTGCCTGCGACGGGTCCTTCGTGCATGGCTTGCTCTGCTCCATCCTTACAGCTGCTTTTTAAACCACTGGTTCCTCAGCTGTTTATTTGGGGTTTTTTTTTCTGCTGTAGTCTGGGGTTATTGATCCTAGGAAAGGGCCTGGCTGGAGCTCCGTGAGCCTTTGATTAAATGTCCTGCGAGCATCTAGGAGCACGCTAGGAAGAGCAAAACACTTTTACATCCGTGGCTGGGCAGCTTGGTGCGTGCAGCAAGGGTGCGGCATCCAAAATTCGGTGTGGTGCTTTGGGACTGCAGGTGCTGAACGCTGAGCAGAGATGAGGAATATTCCTTGGGGTCTGCTGCAGGGAGCTCATGCAGGTGCTTGGAGGTATCTTGCTAACTTGCACAGAATTGAAGCTTTTTTTTTTTTTTTTGAGCCATAGGGGTTAAGGAAGAAGAAAAAAAACTTATTTTTGTTACGAGAGGGAGATGTGATAGCTGTGTAAGAGGAATCATGTGATTATTAATATAGTGAAAGAACTTTTTTTTTTTTTTTTAATTTTAAAGCACAAAGTATAATGCTGAGCTGAGGCTCCAAGGCCTGAAATACAGGCTCTCCCTTGCACTGTAAAATAGCCCCTTACCTCTGCTTAATCAGACACCCGTGAGACAGAGCTGTGCTGTATATAAATGGAACAACTGTGCCAATAAATGATTTCTCCAACGTCTTGTCTCCTGGCCCTCGGTTGCTTCTGCTTGAATTCAAACCACTTCAAACTGTTCTCCTGTTGCTCTGTGCATTGTGGAAGCCAGGTGAGACCCTTCTGTCTTCATGCAAGTGTGGTGGTGAGTCCCAGCCCTGTATCCTCTGGCCGTACTGGTGACAGCGTGACTTGTGTTGACTGGGCATTGCCCACTCCTGGTGACGAGGAAGGTGCTTTAACATGGACCGGAGTGCAGCCAGGACTGCCCCAGCATCTCTGTGTGCTGGCATGGAGGGTGCAGGGGGAGGAGGATGCACCAAGGCACTGGAGAGCCTGCCTGCAGCCCAGGGCTGTGCCCCCACTCCTGCTGCCTGCAGTGCAAGGTCCATTAAAAGTTAATTTACAGACCTTTAGCTGTCTCTCACCCTGGTTAAAATTCTGCCTTCAGGTCTGGCACAGAAGGCTTTACGGTGATGCCTGGAGCGGCAGCAAGGAAGCACAGAATCATAGCATGGTTTGGGTTGGGAGGGACCTTTAAAGGCCATCTAGTCCAACCCCTCCCTGCAGCAAGCAGGGACATCTTCAACTAGATCAGGTTGCTCAGAGCCCCGTCCAACCTGACCTTGAATGTTCCCAGGGATGGGGCACCTACCACCTC